CATTTGAACAATTTGGTCGCATAATCAATGCGATTGGTCAATTTTTTCTTCATCCGAGATATCGGATCGATTTCTAACATCGTGGACATCGGGCTTTATAATTTTTTCGACCTCAATTATTATAATTGATATATTTTATAAAAAACTAGTCAAAATTTTAACCAATGTATAGCCGTTGAGCGAAGCACCAGCTGCTATCAAGCGCCAAACTCGCCGGGTTCGTCTGTCAGATCTTTTCGTTTCGTAGTAACAGAGAGATCGTTTCTTATCATATTTCACTAAACTTCATTTCGCGCACTCTGTGCGGGTAATCAAATGGTTCGCTACGGTGGCAGCATACTTGAGACGGAAAATTTCGGTTCCTCTAACCGAAAGCATTTGTTAATATAAACAGCGCTTCAGTTAGTGAGAATAGGTTACATGTTACTCTAACTGAAACTCAACTAACTGAATATCTCTACCTGCTACAGCCGAAATGTTTTTTTCCTGTAGTGTAGGCCTGTCCTTTTTAGCTGAACTTTTTGCACGGCTCATCTTTTCTCTTTTTCTTTCCAACGTGGAGAGAAAAGGAAGAAAGATGAACCGTGCAAGAACTTTAGTTAAAAAGAACAGACTTATTGTTTTTTCTAGAACATTACATAACATTGTTCTAATCTGGAAATGTCGCCGACATCTGACTTCTACCGATTATAAGCAATTCGATGTATAATAAAGCCCGACATCGTTTATTATCGTTTATTACTGTAGCTATCATTTCGATAAATACACGTTAAATTACAGCGCTGATCGACGTTGCTACCGGCAATATTATCGTTCATGGGATCCGAAAAAGGATACAACGCTGCGTCAAGGCGTGTAAACGGAGAGAAGAACTCGAATGCTACTTCCTCTTTGAAAGTTATGGGAAGAATTAACTCGTTAACTACCGAAGAGCCCGAAGAGAAATTTTCTTCTTCGTCTCATGGCTGCATCAGTTAATTGGTCCAATCGATCTTTCGCGATATTTGAGAAAACGATGTCGACCTGTGATGTATCACATTTTAAACATTGTTCGGATTTAAATCCCAGTCAAATCTATCTTCGGGAAAAACGCACATGTAAAAGCTGGATGTCGCGATAAAACTCCTCTTTCGAAAGGATTCTCAAAAGGTTTTGCGGTTGAGGTCGATTTGATGATCTCGGTTGTAACTGTATACCTAAATCACGGATTGCAATTATCACGCTGAAGATAAAATATGAAAATGTCATAGCTGTTCTATTATTAAACGAAATATCATAGATATCCTTCACTTTCCTTATATTGATATCGAATTGGTGTTGAAAACTGAGAATAATTTTAATACTGAATAATTCTGCAATTATTGAAAAGAGCATCCGATGATTTTCGAACATCTATAAACTTGGAAAGCTTCAATTAATCTTTCTATTTTCATTGTCATAAATAAATATAGGGATCACTCTCTCGTTTAGAACGTTGAGATTTGTCTTACCAAAAAAATTATAGCTTTGTAGATTGATTTAATTTGTATAATGAATGGTAACTACTTTATCAATGACACATAATAATTTTTTCTTTGACGAATTATATATCATCCGTATTTTGCTGTGCAAGATGCGGAGAATATATAATCCATTAGAAAAAGAAAATTATTATAAAATGATTCGGATTCCTAAAATGTTTTAATTCTCGATATTTCTCGATCGGCCGAATGCAACTATAGTTGGTATTTCACTGCGGAAGCTGCGATTCAGCAGCTAGTACTGAATAAATAATAGAAATATATTTATTACATTGCTGGGCGGGACTCGGCGATCAACGAGAATAATTCAGTAATCTTGATGTCAATACGCGTACAATTAAATTATATACATTATTGTTCCGGTTATTATCACTTTCTTATTATGTGCAACATGGCAAGACTGTTTACGTAATATTAACGATATTCTTTATGGAACAATTATATAATTATAGTGATAAGGAATACCGGAGCATTTATTCTAATTGAGTGAAATCATTATTCGTATCTGTATATCACATATTTGTATTGGATATTTTTAAATCGAATATAAAAATTCTTTACTCCTTTTTAAATATGCGCTTTTTCAATGCTTGTTAACATTCTGTTGTTTATGTTGTTGTAATGAAATTAATGCAGAAGTTGTTAAATAAATAAAACGTAATGATACTAAAGAAAAAAATTATTATAAAAACAATACGATTTAGTAAGAAAAAAAGAGAAGTTGAAAATGATGCAAACTAAGATGTTTTAAATTTTCTTTTTTATACGCAATTTCTCTCTCTCTCTCTCTCTCTCTCTCTCTATCTCTCTTTCTCTTTTTTTGCCTCGAGATTTTTATTCACAACGATTTGTTTTTATATAAGTTGTATCTTTGTACAATAAAAAAATAGGGATATTCATAAAAATTCGAATATTCAAGCAACTTCTTTAGCCGATATTTATTCTGCACACAATAGATTCGATACATACAAAATCCAGCTGAAAACATTGTACGTATTGCATTTACGACGGAGTTGCATACCTGCACGTCTTACTCGTTGTAAGAACCTTTCTCAATTATAAGCATCAAGAGATCCTTGATGAACTCTCACGGAATAAGCTAAATAAACGCTTACTGAGCTGCATCGAATCGCACGTATGAGTACTAGGTCAAAGTTAATCGTTTCACATTAAAGAGAAAAGTAGTTTGGTTGTAGTTTCTTTATGAATTGAAGTTCCTATATGAAGTCCAATTAGAGATAATAGTGCTAATGGTTGTAACAATAAAAAGTAAAATACGTGATATTTAAGACGTATTAATCGTATTATACTGTAGATGAACAAGTATGTTATGCGAATGTATGATGAATGAAATTGAAATGTAATAATATAGAAATCAATTTTTTTTATTAAGTTTCGTGTAATTTAATTCTTTTTATCAATTTAATTTGCGTATCTTTAAATTTGTGATCACGAAAATTGAAAAGTGACTAGATTTTCGAGCTTAGATCTTTTCATCGAAGATTCAAGAGATTATTTATTTTTGCGAAATAACATGAGAAATCGAGAGTCGAACGATGGAAACGACGTCCAGTAGTGGGACGTCGGTTATAGCGAATCGCGCGTCGAAAGCACGACGAGAACTTCCGTTCCGGTTACGAAACTTCCAGAAAGTTAGCAATGACCAGCCCCAGTCTGCGGTTTACCGGTCGCTGGACGATCGATGTGCGCTCGTACGCGCGCGTTTGTGTGCGTACCGATACGCAGCGGCGCGAAAACGCGAACGTGTAATCGCTCGAGGCTCTCCCTTGAATCACCCGTATGTATTCACTTTCCAAGGATCCCGGCATCGTAGAAAGTTATTTGACATTTAGAGGGGCCCCGGAGTTTTTTGACCCACCCCGCATGCATACTTAGCCGCGTGCCACCAAGCGCGAACTATTACTTCGCGAGGGTACACGTGCGCGCGGAGACATATTGCAGCGAGACGAGCGAGATGATTAATTATTAAATCCCTACGGTTATAGAAATGTGCGATGTAACGTTGCACACCTTAAAACTATTTACAGATTTCGCGTTATACCGTAATTATTAGAATGACGGATATTTGTGGCAGAACATTTTTGTAAGTTAGTTATAAGTTAGGTATTAAATATTTATTAAATACAATTAAAACTAATAAGATTTTATTGTCTATTCACTTCCTCGAGACTTTCCATGTCGAACTTTCCATGGGTTGGCTTCGAAACTACTTGATGCCTCGTTAAAAGCGTTTGTATAATTACTCTTAATTTCTCGTTTGATGTTTGCGAATGTCAAATATCCGGGAGTTTCTGATATATTTCGTGTCTGAAGAGGTTGTCGTAAGTTTTATGGTAAGGTCAGAGGGAATCAACTAACAATAAGTTATTGCGCTCTCTCTAACAGCTGTCTTTCGCGAGAGACCAGCCCGGAATTTCTGTCCGCTTTATTAAACGTTCAGGGCCCATAGAGGCGCGTTAATTGTTATCACGTTGGCGAGTAGCGTGCCATTAACGTAACGTATAACGTCAACATAACGCGAAACTCACCGCCCGAAACACACCGCGAGAAAGTCTCACCGCGTTCTTTCTTCTTGCTTTCTCTTTGCACGCCCATTACGTAACGAGAAGCGAGGTCGTCCGTGTTGTCTGTGTACGTCGCTATTCATCCGTTCCTATATCGTATCATCAATCTTTATTAATCCTGCATCGAGAACCGCCCGCTGACCGAGCTGAGCTGGGGAACAAGTGCATCGTCGAGCACTTTACATTTCTGCATTACATAAGCGGTTACAAGTTTGAACCGGCATTTGGCGTACGCGTAACACCGAGATAGACTGGTATTTTATACGATTGTTGATTTTAATTCACGCATCTCTCTCGGGAGCTGTGAATTCCGAATGAATTAAACTTTAAAGAATGTGTATCTCTATTTCCAAGGATATGTGCATCACTTATTTGATTTCCAAGATATACTATATTGAAACTTATAAAATATTTCAAATATATATAGAAAAAGATTTTAATTTATACGTGTATATTACTTTGTATATGTTATTTATATTAATAATATAAAAATTCAAATTAAAAAAAAAATTGTTACAATGTGAGTGAAAGTTTCGTCATTCCTTGTATCGAAAATTTTTTAATTAAGAATTTTGTCTTCGTTTATCCCCCAGAGCATTTTTATATCCCTTAACTAAATCTATTTTATTTTTATGTTAATATATTACACAGAATAGTGTAAATTTTCTAATATTAATTGCATTTCATTGATGTTTATTGTTGAAGTCACGAGTTATCACCGCTAACTCACTTATACCGATTCGTTATACCAATATGCGAGAGATTGAACGCTACCAAAGTTGGAACGAACTCGCTATGAATTAATTATTTGCGAGACTCTCACTTTGGCATATCGTATTATACGTCTCCAGCGATAATGAATTATTAATGAGATACACTATTTTTCTCGTTGCAGGAGGTGCGAGCGGCATCGCTGATTCTCTACTTGGGAATTCTGCTCGCAACAATACATGGTGGTAAGTCTTTCTTCATAAGAGAAACTGTTAAAATTTAATTTCTGCAATTTTTATTATTTTACTTTTTAATTATTTTATTTTTTATTACGTACAGAAAACTCAATTATAAGTACATTTGCCAACTAAAGATAGAAATCTTTGATTTTAATTTCAAGTTGATTTTCTTTTAGCAAAAATTTAACTAGACTGGCGTTTAGTTTTTAAAATTTAATAATTTAATAAATCTCGTAGACTGAAATTCTTTTAAGAGGATTTTTCATTTTATCATAGCGTTTATTAAGAAATTTTGAATTCTTTTTTTGGAAAAGTGGGGAGATAAAGATTTTTTTAATTATTTTTTGTTCTTGACTTGTTATTGTTTGAAGATAGATTTATTTTTTCTAAAATAAAATATCAAAATAAAATATGGAAAAATTAACATAACTATTTGATCCTATGCACCAAGCATTTCCAGAAAATTGAAATTAAAAAATGAGACGTCAATTTAATTGGAACACTTGTGGCAGAATTATTCATTTCGTTCAATAAATAAATAAATGGCACTTATTTATAAAAAAATTCTGTTACTCTTTTTTGAAAATGTTTTTGAATTTTGAAAAAATAGAATGAATTAAGTTATTAAGATAATATTGGTTCCGACAATAGCCACAAGTGCTCTGATTAAAATGATTCATTTTTTAATTTTAGTCCATTGAGAGATCTGGAATCACACATAATTGCAGCTAAACTGTGCACACAATGCACAGAAATCAAGTAGATCTGTTAATTATTCATGTTTTTATAGAAAAAAAAACAAATCTGTCTTTAATCAATAATAAATAGAGGACAAAAAGTAATTTTGACAAATATTTACCCATTTAAAAAAAAATTCCCAAAAACCTCATAAAAAATATCGCACGATAAAGTAGAAAACCCTCCTGAAATACGATTTATTCGATCTCCTTTGATCTTTGAAGAATATCTCGTATACTTACGTAATAGTAACAATAAAGAATTTCACGTCATTATAAAAGTACTATACGAAATAATGACAATAGCTAGGCTTTGCGTGGTACCAGGAAAATGATTCTTATGGATATTAAAAATAAATTACAACTTGCAATAAATTAATTTCCAAGAGCGCTTGTGCACTGTCAATGTAAACCTCATCTTGCGAAAGAAACTATAAAGATATCATTTATCCGAATCCCCAGCATTTATCTGTTCGTTGGTATATTCTGGGAGCAAAACAGTAATCGTTTCCATACAGCACGAAAGCAACCGAGAGTGAGCGAATTGGAATGGGACACGCGAAGAAAACGAAAGGGTCTCTCGAATTGCTAGTAAAGTACTAGTTTTTCCAGATCTATCTGGGCGGCCATTCGTTTTCCTAGAAAAGTCCCGGGAAAAGATTGAAAGTTTCATCAAAGGCTTGTTATTAGGCTCTTTGCACTCTCGAATTTCCTAATTTGATTTAGACACCAAAATATCTCGAAAACAATGAATTTGTTATATTTGACCTTTAATGGCCAGAACGTGTTTTAAAATAAGAACATTAGCGCTATTTTGCGTTTGTTTTTTAAGAGCGAAAAATTACCAGGATCAAAATTTCCTTATTTTTTCCAATAGAATATGAATCTGCAATAAAACATAGGCGTTTCCATCGAAAAAAATCCACGTGGATCTTATTGGACTGAAAATGGATCTCGGACCCAAAATTTATAAGTACTCATTTAATGGTCTTCTTCAAACCTTACAACTTTTATTTAAAAATTTTTTTTGAAAATGTTTTCGAGATATTTTGGAGTTTAAGTTAGAATACTCTGTATATTCTTATTAAGAAACAGAGGAATAGTCCGTATATTTTGTTTAAAAAATGATTTTAATACAATTTTGTATAATATAATAGATCTCCTAATGAATACTTAATTTTTAATCATCTAAAATAAATGTGTACTATTTCTTTTATTGCTATAAAGATAAATTAATATAAAAAATAATACCTAAATGTTTGATCGTTAAAATAAAATTAACCCTATACACACTGGGGTCCCAGAAACCCCAACGCAATTTGCTAAACCGAGATTTTTTCGCGTTTTTGAACTTTCTTTTTCTTTGAATCCATATATCTCGAAGCTTCTTAATTCTATCGACTTTTACACATTATAGACTTGTTCCTTAATCAATTTTCCATCGATTGAAAAAAAAATTAATTGAAATATGTCCATTTTTAAGAAAGTTACGGTAACAATATGGATGGGGTCCTAGAGCCCCGAGTGTGTATATTAAGGGTAGACAAAAAGAGTGTATATAGCTAGGATAAAAACAATAAAAAAATTGATTTACAACAATTGATAAAATACTTGAGAAATAGCCATTATAATTTTTATGTTCGAAAGTTTGTTAATATTCGCGCGATTATTTAAATGTTTTTGAACTTTGTAAAAAATTATAGTTAACATTCTTATAAATCGCGCGAAGAAACTGTAATATTTCTCACAATGAACGATAATAATGCTCGAGAACGAGCGATAATACGTGGAAACTTCCACCTTGTAGTGTCTATATGTTTTCAATAATAGCGCTTTCCACGTCGTGATTAAAGTATAAAGCCACTTCGTGATTTTCTCATATTCGACAGGCAAATCCGGAAAAACGCGCGATCACGAACAAGAGCAGACAGTCTCTTTACTTGATATTATCTACACTATTATGTATCACGGCTAAATATAATTATATATTGTTTGTATAATTCCGATATACATATGTATAGCTAAACGTGGGACTGTTGCGAGCTCGGTTGCGAGTATTCTCTCGATGGGCGTTGTTGCGGTGAAAGAGATTCTCAAATGTTTCAATAAATATCAATAATCTTTGTGAGACGGGTGAAGGTAATAAAATTTAAAGATTTAATATGACATATTTAATATGTACTGTATTTAACTCGATTCCAGAATCTTTAATTAATACCATATATTGATAGATTTTTAATAAATTTTAGGCTTGTATATATTATATTATTAGTATATTATATTTATGCGTTTTTGTGTCCGAAATATATGTATGTATATATATATGTATATTGAAAGAGGTACTTTTTAATTCAGCTGTTTTATTTGATCACCACTTTATGATTAAAACGTAATACGATTTACTTTTAAAGCTTTTAAATTTTACAACATTGTCCATTTTATGTAGGTATTTATAAAATACAGAAAAGAGAGAGTTAACACGTTCAATTAACATCACATAATCATTAAAAATAGATACTTATTTATACTAAAAATAAAATCATATTAAAATATGATTTTATTTTTAGTATAAATAAGTATCTATTTTTAATTTTTTAAATATGTAATTATTTTACACTTGAAAGACTAAGTTGCCACTTACTTTTTCGACTTGATTATAATATAAATGCAATGTTAAGTAATGAAATATAATATAATAAAAATTAATAGGTAGAATATGACGCAGGTGTGCAGGGACAAGATTAATCAACGTATCACAGTTCAACGAAATTAATCTTTATCAAGATCTTTGATAACTAAAAATTAAAATATATAATTATTTTACGCGTATTATAATAATTCGTATCTACGTTAACAATATAAATTATACATTTAAATATCTATATAAAAGGTTTATAGAAGTTTAGGACGCGATGTAAACATTTTTATAAACGTTTTGCACCTTTATGGTACCTTTATGGTACCTTTCGAACGTTTATGTTGTTTGAATAATTGTATAATATATTTAGGATTTCTCTAGAAGGGGAATTGAAACCGGTATAATTTAGGTCAAATTTTATTGCTCTGGGCACATAAAAGTAATCTAAATGATACGTTTAAAAGTAATCTAAATTTCTTGTTCTTTGTATCTTTTTTATTAATTTACAAATATCTACAGAAAAAATGGAACGTTTCTTAAAAAAGTAATCCGTGCAATTTAGTTCTTCATACGTAAAATAATTACATATTTTAAAGATTAGAAATGGACACCTACTTATTTATATTAAAAATAAAGTTGTATATAAATTTTTATAGAAATTTTCATTTTTTCTATTTTTCGACAGTATTTCTAGTTCATGGTAGATTGCTTTGACGGACGTATAATCTATAATTAATCATTATTATACACAGGACTGGGCATGTATTTGAAATACTTTTATTTAAAACACACTATTTACAATACAAGCGTATTTTGTATTTTTTATTTCAGCGGATCACATAAAAGTTTTTTACGTATTTTTATATTTAAAATCGAAAAGTTGAAAGATTTTTGTACTTTGTAATTGAAATAATAAGGTTGATTGTCAATGTTAGTATTTGAAATACAAAATACAAAATACTTTTAATCTTTTGTTATTATATCGAAATACAAAATACAAAACACTTTTATGTGCTCCCATGAAATACAAAATACAAAATATTTTCAAGTACATACTTTAAACAAACACAAAATACAAAATATATTTGTCACCAACACTGTTTTTTAAATAAAAGTATTTCAAATACATGCCCAGCCCTGATTATACATATTACTATTAACTTTCCTTTATGTAAATATGTAAGTCTTCGATAAACTCGTCGAAATCGCTCCGATTTCTATCGTTGCCCAGGGATATTTCGTTGACCTCGCCAAAGTGTCGCCTGGTTCCTGCGGTCAGGGTCAGTAGCAAGCCTTAATCTGCAGGCAGGCACCGCTCGTGTTTCTACACAATTGTTCCTACACGATGTTCGGCCTCGTTTCACGCACGATTGGTGAAAGCATCAACGGATAATTCGCGAACGGCTCGAAAGTGCTCGTTGCGTGTAACCGTACGAGACGCGAACTCTCGGCGTGCCGTCAAAGTCAGCCTTCGTGGGCGATTATGCATGTGCGAAGCGGGGCAACGAGATGCATGCTTCTCCATGCATAGATATACACGCATTCGACTAATTAACCGCTTGGACGGCTAGAGAGAAACAATATCCGTCTCGGCATAATACTGTCTCTCGCTTTCGCAATGCCATTTTCGATCGGATTACGTAGCTCGTTACGGATCTTCGTAACATTTTGCTGAAGGAAGTTATATTAACTGTAATGGTATCCGCAATAATACAACCTAATTCAATTGATATAATCGTGACTTTATAAGATCTCCTCAGTTTGCGAAATTATAAAAAGTTGAACATTATTATTAGAAAGATTCTATAATTCCAAGAGATTAGCTTTTATAAAAAGCAATTTAAAATAATACAACTAGATGTAACGAGATCTTTTATTTACTTTCTAAAACGATGTTGTAAAACGATGTTGTAAGAGTCGATTAATGCAAAAATATTGTCAGAAACAACATTATTTTAATACATTTCAATTTAACTTACCTACATACATCTCGAAAACTTAAATTTGTGTTTCGTATATTACATATTTTAGATAAAATCAATTATGTTATTATTATAGTTGCGTTATACATGTGTCAAAAAATAACTGTTTTTACAACATTGTAAGTGCATGCTTTTTGGAAAAAAAAGAAATCCTAGAAAAATACTTTTAATTTTGTATTGTTTGAATTTCTATTGACGTCGGACCACATAGTTCATCGTAAATTATACATATATGTATATTCGAGGATCGTTGTATCTTTTTCTATATAAGTCAGAAAAAGTCTAGCCGGGTATCAGAAATGCATTTTAAGAACCTCATCGACTATGCAAGCCGAACGCTATTTCTTCGCATAAACGAAAGTCCCAATCGCGTGTCAATTTCTCCCTGTGGCAGCGTTTTCTCTCGTGGCGTTTAGCCGTTCTCCCCACGTTCGCGAGTGTGTGCACGCACGCTTTAATGCGAACATAGTGAAGAGTCAGGCGTATGCGTCTGGGACGCACTTACATTTAATTCACAAAATGCACTATTTGTAGACGCGCGTGCATTTAGTGGTCGCGGTGAAAACGCGATGGCACGCGCGAACGCTATTGAGAGGTGACACCAGAGAGCGAAATTTTTCACAGCTTGCGGCGCGAGACTGAATGCACCAGGATGCATCTGTCATAGCTGTCTCTTCATTCAAAAGAATTCTATTAAAAACAGAAAAACAATTACTGTCACACAAAAGCAGGAACAAAGCGACCTCGTTTCTTCCTCTTTCAGAAAAACGCCAAATATAAGAAATATCTTTAACACCAAAGAACGTATATGTAACGTATACATACATATACGAGTATATGTATATATATATGTATACATATATAGTCTAATTATTATTTTTAAATATTTTTTAATTTGTCCAGTCAATATTATATTTATTAAATCTACTAGTTTTTATTTAGTATTTTTAGGTTTAATTATTGATAATAGTATATTGTTGATTCAGCAGTCATCTGGTTGATTTGTACTTATTTCGTGTAAACGCTTTAAAAATTATTGTAGTTATTTAATAATATAGAAATCTAAAAAGTCAACTTTCTATATATTTAAAAAATTAGAAAAATACATCTAAAAATTGCCTTAAAAAAGTATATATTTTTCGTGCTTGTTACTGTGTATTTTTATCTTTTAGGAATTGCTGAACGCAGGATTGTCTGTTATTACACGAACTGGTCAGTGTATCGGCCCGGCACGGCGAAATTCTCCCCTCAAAACATAAATCCATATCTTTGCACTCACTTAATCTATGCATTCGGAGGTTTCACAAAAGAAAACGCGCTGAAACCGTTCGACAAGTATCAAGACATCGAGAAAGGTACAAAAATATGTAACATTTATTTCAAGACTTGTTGAATTTTATTATCAATTTATATTGAAAAGTACAGTAGTGATTATAATTCAACGTTGCAGTCTTAGTAATGATTATATAATCACCTACTTATTTATCGAAGATATGCGTATCGATGGCGATTCAATTAAAATAAATTTATCAATGTATCATAAATTTATTAAAAATGTAATGACTTATGAATCAATTATACAAAGGAAATTAAAGAATAAATATCAATCGTCCCATAAGTGTTAAAAATGTTACTTTCGGTTACAACAAGAATTACTTCTAATTTTGCCTCCATTATATCTAAATACAAGCAACGTTGCTTCTGTTTAGGTAGAATGCTCTATTTATCAAGTTGTTTAATGCACTACACTGACAAACTGTAAACACATCATTTTTGATGACTTGACCGGTATTTAACTTTCACTCTTCAATGAACATGTTCACTCGACAGGCGGATACGCGAAGTTTACGGGTTTGAAGACCTATAATAAGAATTTGAAGGCGATGCTAGCGATCGGCGGTTGGAATGAGGGCTCCAGCAGATTTTCACCGATGGTAGCCGATCCTGCGAGACGGCGGGAATTCGTCAAGAACGCTGTTAAGTTCCTTAGGCAGAATCATTTCGACGGCCTTGATCTCGACTGGGAATACCCAACGTTTAGAGATGGTGGAAAACCGCGAGATAAGGACAATTACGCTGATTTGGTGCAGGTAGATTTACCAATCGTTTCTTACCGTCATGAAAAAGAATATGAAATTTCTTGCAGAAATTTCACCGAATAAAAAAAAGGAGTGTTAAAGGTTCACAAATAGAAATGTGGATAAACGCAAAATGATAAAAAACCGATTGCAATCTTATTTCAATCAAAGAAGGAGTGAATTGCGGAAAGTTAATTAAAACAAATAATTGTGAATTGATAGGAACTTCGTAAGGAGTTTGAGAGAGAATCTTCGAAGACCGGAAGATCGAGATTGTTGCTGTCGATGGCGATGCCCGCCGGTATTGAATATATCGACAAAGGTTACGATGTACCCAGACTAAACGAATACTTGGACTTCATTAATTTACTCTCTTACGACTATCACTCGGCGTACGAGCCTGCTGTCAATCATCATTCGCCGTTGTACCCCCTGGAGGAGGACAACGAATACAATTACGACGCAGAATTGACTATTGTGAGAATTTGCTCATTAAGATCCTATAGTTACTATTTGAACCAGATCAGTTATAGTAGTAATGCGCCTTCATTTATGCCTAACAGGATTATACAATAACTCATCTCTTGGAGAAAGGCGCGTCCGCAGATAAGGTCGTTCTTGGAATACCAACATATGGTCGGTCGTATACGTTGTTCAATCAAGATGCAACCGAACTCGGATCACCAGCGGATGGTCCTGGCATCGAAGGAGAGGCCACTCGAGAGAAAGGTTATCTTGCCTATTATGAGGTAAATTTTATTGCACACAACCAATAGAAGTAAATGCATGCTGTTAACGGTCTTAGTTGGATCTTATGTGCTTGTATAATTTTGTGTGAATTTATATACTACGTATGTAGTCCTTTATATAATTATATAATGGATCAGTTGTGCTATCTGGGAATACACAAAATTTATGAAAGTGCACATATAAAAATTTTATGTATTTAAATTTATAAGCCTATGTTTTTTATTTATATATTTAGAATTGAAAATTAAACATTCGTTTTTTAAGATTTGCGAGAGTATAGCAGATTCTGACGAATGGGAAGTTGTTCAACCAAATCCAAAAGCCATGGGACCGTACGCCTTCAAAGGCAATCAGTGGGTAGGATATGACGACGAAGACATAGTCAAACTGAAAGCTCGCTATGTGAATGAGAAGAAATTAGGAGGCATTATGTTCTGGTCGATAGACAATGACGATTTTCGTGGCAAATGCCATAGTCGACCTTATCCATTGATTGAGGCTGCTAAAGAAGCGTTGCTTACGGATAACAGGTAATACATATATTATAACATATATATAGTAACAAATATTAGCAACAAATATCAATTTAAGAAATAGCACTCTAAGCTATAATATATATTATTATATTATGATATAATAATTATAATATATAATATATGTATTAGCTGTAATAATATTATATTACAATAATTATCTGGAGACACGATAGTGTTTCGGTGTATTACACGTTAATGTTATTACAGTCATCTTAAATATCTAGAAAAGACATCAAATTAATAAATGATAATTGATAAAATGTAGATTTTTCTAATGTAATTCGAAATATTATTTTCGGTGTTTAATACTTTTTATTTCTATTTATAATTTAATATTATTATACACATAAAAATTATTATTATTATATAGCAGGAATACAATCAACAAGACGAAGCCAGTAGACAGTCAGAAAAAGATCCGCACTCAAAATACGCAAAACAGCATTCGTAAGTCGAGTATAAGCAATCGAAGAAGCAGTACTACATCTGCTCCGATTGTCAGCAAACGCGTATCCTCTTCAAGACCAAAATATCGTACCATTTCGCAAGCGAGCAAGGAGGAACAGGAAGATCGGGAAGTATCTAGAAGATCATATGATCCATCATCAGATGAAGACACAGAGGGTAGAAACACCGTAAGAGTCACAGAGAAAATCGAGCGACCGAAGAGTCAAAACAGAAGTAAGACACAAAGCGGTGCTATCGATCGTACCACCCGTAGAAAGCATTCCAGACGTAAGGGACAAAGCAAGACTGGCGAGAATGAGGAATCCATAAGTAACAAGTTAACGACTCCCGAACCACCAACTACACCCGATCCAGGAACCGGTAAGTTTCCGTAAAAATCACGGGATAAACATGTTTTAAAGTGTTTTTAACAATGATTGATCGAACGCTTGCTCTCAGACATTTTGGAATATTTAAATTTAATGTATATAAAAGTATTTAGGACAAAGTTATTTTTACTATGTAAAATTATTGCTGGTTTGCATTTTACAGATTTTAAATGCGAAGATGAAGGCTTCTTCCCGCATCCTCGAGATTGCAAGAAATACTTCTGGTGTCTTGATAGTGGTCCCAGTGGACTTGGTGTAGTTGCGCATCAATTCACCTGTCCATCAGGTAATTTTATTCTACTATAAATAATTTTTATTATGTTTTAACACTTAATTCTTAAATTATTCAATTTAATAAGAAAAAAAAGGAAAAGGTAGATATGAAATCTGCATATATATATATATATATATCTATAAATTAAAGATTGAAATAAATAACACACGAATAAAAAATTAATTTAAAAAATTTGAATTTTTCAATGTTATCCAGTAAACATTAACTAATAGAGTGCAGTCGAGGAGACATATTTGTAAATGCTGTTAGGGTCTTCTATCTTCATCGTTCATTAGACGTAAAATAAGGATAGAATGACACAAACAGTGTTAATAGCGTTTCTCTCTGACTGTAACCTAATCACACAAAACAGCATTTGTACCTACCATAGTAACATAACATTGATGTTATAATTTCATACTCTGGGTAGTAATTGTATTATTTCCATTTGTTGCTTGAACTGAGACTAGAACAGAAATTTTTGACTCATTCGTCATGTAATAGTACCTTTTGGGTTTTCACAGGATTGGTATTCAACAAAGGGGCGGATTCTTGTGATTACCCGCGTAACGTAATTTGTCCCAAGACGTCGAAAACATCGATCGTCTCGACCACTAGATCGCCCATTACGGCCGCGACAAGTCGAACAACTTACTTGCATAGTACAACAATTTCGGAAGAGTACGATTCGGAAGAGGATGTCGAGATCGAGGAAAACGAAGAAGTGGAAGAAGAGGAGGAGGAAGAGGAGGAGAAGATAAAGGAAGAACCGATGACTACCACGACAACGAGACCGCTCGTGTATAAAACACTTACCAGAAATAGACCAAGTACGACTACTACTACGACGATCACTTCGAAACCAAGTGAACCAGAAAGAGAAAGAGAGAGAGAGAAAGAGAGAGTTGACAGCGAAGACGAGGAAGATCCAAAGGTTATCAAAGAACTCATCGATCTTATCAAAAAAGCTGGCAAGTATAAGTTTATTAAACATACGTATAACTACATACAATGTACTTTCTGATGATTCTATGATATTAACACCCTCTGCAATTAAAGGTAATAACTCTAGTAATTTTAATATTCTTTCTTTTATAATATCTTTTATGATATTGATTTCTATATAATATTTTTTGATACTGCTATCTCTTCTACTAGGAAATCTTTTATACTATATATTAAAATAAATAATTTAAAGAGTTCTTTTATTTTAGGCGGAATAGAAGAGTTGGAAAAGCAATTGCTATTTCAAGAAAAGAATTTAGATACCAAATCGGGCAGCGAAAGTGTCACACCGGCTACGATTAGTCGTAGTTTATATGAGCGTGTATTGAATCGCCAAACGAACAGAATCGGTAATCATCGACCCGTATTATCATCCTCGGAAACCAGTTACGTAAACGGACCAGGAAGAGCACAATTCGAAGGCTTGGACGATATCCCTGAAGTGAAGAGCCTCAGACGATCACAAAAACCTCAATACGTCACCATCGAAAGATCCAAGTCAGTAACTTGTTTGATTATTATTAGTAAAAATGTCACACTTTCTTTATATTGATTGAATTTATTAAGTGTTTAATTAATTTCCATGCATCGAGACTTATATATTGTTTCTATTTGTTAATTGTAATTTTGAAGAGAAGTAGAAGATTAAATTAAGACCAGTGATGATAAAACTAAATAAACAAAACAGCAATGGGAAAATTATTACGCACAAAATTATTTGCTATAATTAAAAATCTTTTTATTAGTAAATGGATCCTATTATTTTTTAATTCTAGCGAATAATTTTCTGTGCAATATTTTTCGTACTTGACTCAATCCTATATACCCATTGTCATTTTGTTTATTTAATTTTATTAGGAGATAATTTTTTAAATTTAATTGCTGATAAAATTAATTTTATAAATTGTAAATGTTTAATTCATGTACCTTTTAGTTACGATTCTGATATTGATTAGATCGATCACGAAAGAATCTGCCTCCGAGAATGAAGATATCGATGAGGACGAGGAAGACAACACTGATGTAGCTTCCTCTGAGGGAAAAAGCATCAGTAACCCGTTGGAAGATAACTTATCCACGCAACGAGTGACGCCAAGTTACGTAAATATTAGACGAACGCGACCTTCCACCACGACGTCGAAGTAAGATAAATGACAAAATAAAGATTTCTCTCGTATATTGTAAAAATATTGTATAGTATCTCTCACGATATGAAATTTTCAGAATCGAGAATGACGTGGAAGGGAAGGAAATTGAAATCGAGGAGGAAAGACTGACTCGCAGACGACGACCGATCGTTTCTTCAAAGTAAATATATTTTCAATGATACAATTATTCACGCTCTGTTCTATTAAAAATTTATTAAAAATTTATTAAAAATTATTAATATTGTGTAATAATTATTTTTAGACAACATGATAATGGCGGTAATCGTTATTTTTCAGGAAATGACAAGAGCACTTCGAAAATCTCGATCAAAAAAAACATTACATAATGATCTTTTAACTTCAAGATAGAGTAACTTCGTCAAAAATGATCATAATAAGATTTTTAAAAAAGCATTTTAAAGGTTGAAATCTCTACTTTTCAAATCGGTAATCGATATTTCAATTTGATCGATCCTTCATGGAGCTACGCGGATACAAATGGATACCCGTCAAATTTGAAACTTTGATCAAATTTTTCAAATTTGACGGATATCCATTTGTATCCGCGTAGCTCCATGAAGGATCGATCAAATTGAAATATCGATTACCGATTTGAAAAGTAGAGATTTCAAGCTTTAAAATGCTTTTTCGATTTATTTTCTGCGACGATTTTTCACCGAGTTATGGTGTTCTGAATATTGTACAATTTTGAGCGTGTTCGAAAGTGTTCCCTATTTTTTGTTGAGTAGTGTATATGATAATATAATATAATTATGACGGTGAAACTGGCGCTCGCGCCCGCTGCGTATGCGCCTGCGCGACGGAGATTTTTATTCTTGTGCTCCAGAATCGTTTAAAATGTAAAAATTATTTATCGAACTCCAAACATAAAGTATGGAGTGGATAAAATAGGTTACATTATTACAATATTTTAAATAATTTTTTTTATAAAGCGCGACTTCTTGACAAAAGTACTAACAGCGACACTTTGGTATCTCGTAAGGGGGTTCGAAAGAATTTTTTCCAACAGAGTAGATCATGAACAATCGGTATCGATTAGAACAGAGGGATGGCCCTTTATCAAATTTTTAACGATTTTTTTAACTACGAGGACGGGCGAGTCGGGCGTCGTGTCTCGACAAAAGTACTAACAGTGGTACTCTGGCACCGCCTAAATTTGATAAAGGGCCGTCCCCCCTGGGTCGGTTTTAGGCGGTAAGCACGGTAAGCGGCGCATCGGGTTGTCATGAAACGGGGGCGCCTTAAATCCCAGCGCCAAAAATATTTAAATGTTTAAAATAATTATTTAAAAATATTGAAAATTTGTTTAAAAAAATAAATTTGCAAACGTTGTGTCAATGTAAAAATAAGAACAACTGACTCTTGTGCTTTTCTTTTTTGTCGCGCTTCTTTTCGCCCTGACTAGGGCTGTGTTCGCTTTGGCGCTCACAATGCTTTAAGCGTCGTATCATCTTTATTAAATATTAAACAATTGATGCTCAAAAGCGTCGCGAGCGCCAAAGCAAACGGTCTAAATGTATCTATAGGGTGTACCGACCAGTTACAGCAAAGTAAACGAAGAAAGAGCATTGAAGTCGCGAAAGTACGAACGACGAGCATAGCGGTGAGAGGCATGAGGACGGCTTTTCGCTGTTCGTAATTTGGTGATCTTTCGATTGTTTCTGGTGAGACGTCACCCTTCCACTTGCCGCATATGCTCACCGTTCGCGTCATCGCGCCATCGCTGCTTTTTCGTTTACTTGGCTATGAACGACTGACCGGTGAGTCAAACCATGAGCCGTAAGAAATCGCCCTAAGACGTGTCCCTGTTTGATGATTAAAAAATACGTTCAGACAAGTCAAACCCGAATCTACACGTAATATCAGTCCTATATTTCTTTCGAAAAGGTAAACATTTAAATAATATTTATATAATACATTTTTAACTATTATTCGCATCCCAATGAGAAAGTTTTAGTTTTAGACTCAATCGATTTATTTAACGAATTAAAATTTTTGAAAGACTTTCTTTTCAGAAATCAAAGATTTGAAAAGTTCGCTTGATATATTGACTTACATGTATTCAAATAATCTTGAATCATCCTTTCCAAATATTTGCATAGCTCTTCGAATTTTAAATACGTTGCCTATATCTGTAGCGTCTGGTGAAAGAAGTTTTTCTAGATTAAAGCTGATTAAAACTTACTTAAGATCAAGTATATCACAAGAAAGACTGGTAGGCCTAGCATTGATAGCAATTGAATATGACATATGTAAGGAGTTAAATCTTGAAGACCTTATTTTTGAATTTGCCTGTTTAAAAGCGCGTAAAGTAATTTTATAAACACAATATTTTTAAAATCGTTGTATCTTTTTTATAGTATTTAAGTTATTAATATAAAAATTATATTATTCAATTTACATTTACGTATAAAGTATGTGAGATATATCATATGGATATGTAAATTTTTTAAATTTTACAGTTCATGTTTTTTTAGTTTGAATAAAAATACAGAATAATTTCGAAATTTTGTTATTATTATATATTATATGAATGTGAGGAAATGAGAGGGAGGAGCGCTTTTTTAAATCTTGCGTAGGGCGCCAAATATGCTGGAACCGGCTCTGGCCATCCCTCTGTTCTAATCGATACCGATCGATTGTTCATGATCTATTCTATTGGAAAAAATTCTTTCGAACTCCCTTACGAGATGCCAAAGTACCGCTGTTAGTACTTTTGTCGAGACACGACGCCCGACTCACCCGTCCTCGTAGTTAAAAAAATCGTTAAAAATTTGATAAAGGGCCGCCCCTCTGTTCTAATTGATACCGATCGATCGTTCACGATCTATTCTATTGGAAAAAATTCTTTCGAACTCCCTTACGAGATGCCAAAGTACCGCTGTTAGTACTTTTGTCGAGACACGACGCCCGACTCACCCGTCCTCGTAGTTAAAAAAATCGTTAAAAATTTGATAAAGGGCCGCCCCTCTGTTCTAATTGATACCGATCGATCGTTCACGATCTATTCTATTGGAAAAAATTCTTTCGAACTCCCTTACGAGGTGCCAAAGTACCGCTGTTAGTAATTTTGTCAAGAAGTCGCGCTTTATGAAAAAAATTATTTAAAATATTGTAATAATGTAATCCCTATTTTATCCACTCCATACTTTATGTTTGGAATTCGATAAATAATTTTTACATTTTAAACGATTCTCGAGCACAAGAATAAAAATTGCCGTCGCGGGTCGCATACGCAGTGGACGCCCGCGGCGCACTCGGCCCTGATCGGCGGCTGGCTGCGGCGGCCAGTTTAAGCGTCATATATAATTATATGTATAATATATTTAAGTATGTATATATATATATTGTATTATGGTACATTTATTACACACTTTTATAAGATTCTTATTTCTTATAACAACTTCAGAAAATCAGAGAAGGGGGAAGATAAAAGCACGAATCAATCAGCAGACAAAGACAATGATTCATCAACAACCAAAACTAGGTTTCTATACATATTTATTTGCTATAATACTTCTATATTACTATGCACTTCACATTCTTATTTATTTTTTAGATACTCCAACATACAAAGATTCAGAAGTACCACTTTGAAAACTTCGGAAGGTTTATCTAGCATAGCACCTTTATCGGAGATTAGCGAGACGACTTCACCGACGAGACTGGAAGAGTATCCAGAAGTATCCAGGAAAACAATTAGTACGACCGCTTCGTTGTCTATGACGCCTGCAACGACTACTTCGACTTCCACCGAGATTATCACCACAATCAGTGTCGAACCGTCAGAAAATCCATCTAATGTTAGTTCTAGAGCGGACTTCGACTCCACCACTGACTCGATGAAACTGGTGGAAGATTCGGCAACGGAGATCTTATTTACAACGTTGCCGGCAATTAGCAGTAGTTCAAGCCAATCGACGACGACGACAACGACGTTAGCAAGCAGATCGACGATCGCCGCGGTGTCGCAACCGCGACCATTCGGTTTCACCAGACGAAGATCCGGTTCATTAGAAGCGACGACGACGGCTACGACCCCATTGAGCAGGTCCAAGGTGAGTATTACGCCGCGAAATCCTACGCGTCCGTCCAATCCGGTTCTGGGGCGAGTTCGATTAAGGACGAAACCAGTCAACCAAGTTACCGAGGAGGAGTTAGTGGATCAAGTGGACATTCCACGTGCGGAGACTTCCACATCCAGGAGTAAGGACCTTAGTAGATTACGTGGCAGGGGATCCAGCAAGTACACTCCACCAACGTCGAGATCAAAGACGCAAGACGTTTCCGCGAACTCCGTCCCAGGCCTCAGGTATAGAGAAAGAGGCAGAATAACAACTTCAACTACTGTTGGTACAATTAGTATTGATGATATTAAGAGAAGATATCGAAGACCTAGCAGAGTCAATAACCCAGAATCTATTAAAGCCAACGAATTGGATGATAGCCCGATAGTAAGAATAACACAAGGTGGTTCTAGAAAAAATCCGTTGTATCAATCGCGATATGACGAGGAGAATAATAAAATAACGAACATCAGGGTCTTTCGAAAGCCGACTGTTAATCGCGAGTTGTATGACAGGACGAAGTACACGAGAAAGAGAAACAACATGGAAGAGTCGTTGCAAAAAGTAAACAATGACTTGAATCAAAACATGGCATCGATGACACTGAAAGCTCTCAGAACTTCCGCGGAAACCGACAGGATTGAGGGAAACGATTTGTCGAACGTTGATCAATCAACCGCAAAAATTGATTCCGTCGTTGAGTCCAACACTATCCAGCCAATCAACGATTTGAAACCAATAACGAAAATTGATGTGACAACTGTATCTAATAGCAATAAAGTAGATGCCAGCAACCAATCCAAAGATACTATCGCCACAACGACCACTCGCATCGAAACTCATGAATTTAATCCCGACTTGGTGACGATCGTTTCTACCGAAAGCGCCTTTGATGTTGCAGAAAAGGCATCGGGAACGCCAAGAAAACGAAAGATTTTCCTAAGAAAGAGACCGATATTACCGAGTACAGTTGTCAATTTTATTGAAACAGAAGAGGAGGAAACATCTCAAGGGCCTCGTAGACGAAAAGTGATAAAACGTAAACGTCCGCTTCAAAATACTTCAACATCGATTGAAGTTTCCCTCGAAGAAGAAGATTCGAGTTTTCTTTTAAAATCGACTACTCCGATAAGAAGCGATAAAGATGTTGAAAAATCGACAGTTTCTATTAATCAGACAGAGGTTACTCTAATAAACCAAAATACTGAAGAATCGACGATTGTTACTGATTTAACCGGACTTACAAGAGAAATGGAAGATTCGACTTTAACTATCACGGAAACCATTTTGTCCACCGATTACAACGCTGATGGTTTCACGAAGGTTACTTTAGAGACTCCCGCGATTGAAACCACGACGATATCAGGCGAAGAAGTTACAGATATTCTCAGCACTGCTACTGTATCAACGATTATTAATACAGATGCTGACGAGATTCAGCGGTCAACGATTGAAATGGGTACTGAACCTACTACGATTGAATCAACTTTGGCGACAGCCACTACTTATAACGCTGAGAGCATGTTTTTAGAAGATATATTAATACCGTCTACTGAAGCTGAGAATTTATCCACTATTCGCGTGCAAATAACCACCACGTTGTCCACATCGGATTCAGATTCAGCTACTCGTACACAAGCAACTACTACACCATTTACGACGGAATCAGATTCATTTTCAGCTGCAAGATCGAGTTCCGATTCGAGATACGCACGTAAGAAGTTCATTCGCAAGAATCCTGTATCATCTTCAGGGAACACCACCAACCAATTATATATTCCTGCACTGTCATCAACGGAAAACAGCAGTCTCGAGATTCCCTCAAAACGCAAAAACAATTTATTTATTGGACGTTCTTCAGTTTCTTCTGTTAATATACTTTACGATGATCTTAAACATAAGGAGGAAAAAGAAGGAGAAGAAAAAGAAAATACAAGTAGATCACGTGACTTGGTTAGACAAGACATTATAGAAGGTACGACCTTGAGAAACAAGTCGATTTCGACAAATGGTTTTTCAGATGACACCGCGAAATTCTGGAAACATTATACCACGACTTCGTTAAGAGGTCAAATAAACCATCCTTCAGCTTATATTGAAGATGTTGAAGACCGTAAAGTCGCGAGAACAGAGTTTACAGAAAATAATACGTATCGATTAACACCGAATGTTACTCGCGGGCCCGAGATTCGACCGCGATACAAGGTTCCAATAATATTGAAGAGGCCATTCGATCCCGAAGAAGCTTTATCGCCGAGGCGATATCCTCCGTTAGATTCTGCACCTGAAGAATCCGAGGAGACACCAGAAACGAGAGATGCCAGGCTGAGACAATCTGGTTTTCGGCAGCCGCGAATGCGTTATAAGCTTCTAAATCGGAACAACGTTAAAATCGAGGAAAAAACTATGCAGCCGAGTCTGGAATCTACGAGCACTTGGCAATATTTCAAAACACGTTCGTACCCAAAACGTACGTCGACCAGCACGGAAGCGACGGTCACGGAGACTCTGATACCGATGAAAAAATTTGATTACGTCGCGGATGCTTTCCATCGGAAACAGCAGTCACTGAGAACAACAACGCCGAGAAGCAACGATTTTTTTGACTCGCAAAACTTAATTGATGAATATTATACACATACCACGACAGTAAAGCCATCCGTGACTAGATTGGTGACCTCGGTAACAGAGTCCGGCACCACGGAGCGGCAGAAGATCCTCATCAAGACCAAGTATTCGTCACTGACATCGACCACGAGGATACCAGCGGATCAGTTCCCTCCAACGACTCCGTTGTCAATTTTGGTGACTGGAGTCAACGATGAGTTAACGGACTCTACCAACGAAGTTCGTTACGGTGTCGAGCGGTCCACCTTGCCCATCGAGGGCGAGTTCAATTATCGTTACGATGATCGATTCACTACAGAATCTCACGAGTCTTCGACTATCGAAATCGAGTCAGTATTCAGCAATCTGATCGTCGGCAAGGGCTCCGCGAAGTAATAGTATACGAATATTTCGTTACTAATCATTAATGTAGTCAACGATAATGTACATAGATCCAGCCATTAAGTAATTAAGAAACCAATTGCGATCGCCGATTTATCGGAAGGAATGTTATATATATATATATATAAAGTGTTAATAGACATCTAAAGGTCACTAATGTATATAATACTCCTAACAAGCTTAATTATATTATATTTAAGATTGTTCTATGAGATATATGGACCTTAAACAAGTATGACTATGTGAATCAAAAGAAACGACAAAGACTCGTTATAGCTCATGACGACCGACGACCGAATAATCGTCTTCACGCATCATCCTCACATCATCAATAATGACTGAATCATAACGAGCACCTTCTTCATCCGCTTACTCAGAGGGGAACCTTTGACTGAAACCTCTGATAACTTTCTCGATGATGTACTTCTATTTATCACAAATACAATAATCATTAAACACTATCGATGTCCTAGGATGATTCCTTAATCGATCCAAATTAACGCAGCAAGCAAGACACGTTCGCGGCGCTTCAATAGATAACTAAAGAGTCCTTCTCTTCATGTTCCTTTTTTTTTCTCTCCAAGACTGGCGCAGCTCACGCACAGACAGAAAGACAGAAAGAAGGAGACTGCAAAGAAATAAACTATGAAGGGAGAGCACAAGGAGAAACAGAGAGGTCTTTGAGAACCTCCTCCTACCTATTAAAGCGCACTGCATTATTCTGATTTTCAGGTTGCCGATTCGGAAGCTATTAGACTGCCGACTCTGAAGGAGCTGATTGGCTATCCGACGACTTACTACGACGATCGTACTATTACGACGTCGTCGTCATCCGTACTCTTGCACTTGTTGCGTAACGATGTGGACAACGATATTAGTCGGCAGAACGTTGAGAAGTTGTTGAGAGGAACAGACGAGTCGCAAGACGGCGAAAAAGAAATCGCTCAATCACCGAGAGATATAATTGAAGAAACAGGCGATTTGTGGCTGCAGCAAGCCTCGGAAAACACAGCGAGATCTCGCACTTTAAGAAAGGACGACGTTACAAACTTTGATGAACGAGTTTCAGTCACGAACACTATTCAAGAAGAGACTAAACGAAAGACGTCTACCAATTCGGTCTATTTGAAACCAACGACAATGCGCGGCATTTCTCTCGTTAGTCTGATTTCCAGCCCGGTAATGCGTGGGTTTTACATCACCAGGAACGAAAATGTATCATCAATATTGGTGGATAGTTCTACGCCACTTTATACAACGACTGATATTCCCGTTGAACAGCAGACGGAAACTATTTTAATTTCCGACGTTTCTATGACTGATGAGACTGTTACTGTCGCTTATAATGATCAGATTGAATCGGGACTTAATATTCTCGACGACAATGTAAATATCAACGACAAAGGTATCGATTTTCGCGAAGAGAAATATTTCATGCCTAATTCTTCAATGACTTTCTCGAATGCTGAGATTTCAAATCATGAAAAATCTGACTTAATTACAATTCTTGTTGATGGACCAACGTCCAAGAGAGAAAAATCGTTACGTAATTTCGATCCTATTTCGACGCCACTTTCTAACTCTTACGTCGCATCTTCAACAATGCCGACAAGACGAAAAATCGCTCTCGCTGTAAATAGATATAATGAAGCCACCACGTCGTTGTGGACGGACAGACGTATAGTGGCAAGGGAAAGAAATAGAACCACTGTTTCGCCGATCAAAGACGCTATAAGACGAACGGAGAGCGATTCTATTTACGTCATGACGAACACTTTAAGAAACGCTTCTTTAACTACTGAAGCTTCGACTTTGGCTTCAAGAAGTAAACTTCCCACGGCTTCAACAATATCGACAACTTCTCTAACGATGTCCGATGATGCCATAGCATCTCCTGAAATTTTAAGCGTTTACAATAATCTTGCGAATTCTTATGCCAAAACTGAAGACTCGGAAAGCAATGCAACTGAGACAGTAATTTTGACAAATTCAATAATCGCAGCGACTCCTTCGATTTTAAAAACTATTTCAACAAATGATGTTAGAACTGCTGACATTTCAATGTTTTCAGATGATTCTACAATCATGACTGTTCCTGTAGTCACAAACGCGTCTGTTACATCATCGATAGCAGTTTCAAAAGTACCCACAGTTACGGCTGAACTTGCCATAATTTATACACCCACAACTATAAATACTGAAGTTGAAACTACTCCAAATTATTCCGTAACTGATAATCCAATAATTGAGAATGCAATTCTGACTGATCCTGCAGCTACGATTACGTTCGTAACTTCAGCAAATACTGAAAGTGAAATTCCTTCTACAAATGTAAATATAGTTCCGCAGACTACTACAGTTGCAACTGATCATGTAACTACAGTAACAAATACCGGCGTCGTAACTATATCCATACCAGTAACTGCTAGTGTGCAGAAAATTACAAATGATTCTGCAAATACGACAACAATACAAATTACAAATGCTAATATTGGCACTACTTCCTCAATTACAAATTATTCCACAGATGCAACTCCAACAACTATGAGTACGCACGACGTTGTAATTGATTCTACAACCTTGATTACAGCTGCAAATGCTACGGCTGAAACATTTTCCGTGACTAAAAATTATTCCACATTCACTACAGTTAAGAATACTACAACAATTCCTGTTACTACTTCACCATTAACAACAGTCATTCCTTCAACTGTGAACACGCAACATACAATACATGCAACTGCACCCATGACAACAAATAATCTCGCAGATATAAATACTGTAACAACAAATATAATGACTACGAGTACGCCTCTTAATGTAATTACATCGTCTATAAATACAAACATTCCTTCCACTTCTGCAACTAGCGAGATCACGCCAATTACGATTCGGTCTAAAAATAGTTCTGTGACTTCGCCCAAAGCTCTCATTACGAATACAGACATAACTTCAACAAATTCAGTTGTTTCTACAATTTTAACGACCGAATCCTCTACAATACATCTCGCAAATTCAAGTAATCTTAATATTAGTAGCAATTCCGAGATATTAGCCGTTACAACAATTGTAGAGACTACTCAAATTACTGAAATTCCCACAACGTTCGAAATCCCTTCAACATTTACTTCGACAACGACCGCATATCCAAAGCCTCATTCTAGTACAAATTTCGAAGCATTATCTGTTGTAACCGCTACATTGTCAAACCAAGGGAATGAAAATTCCTCGACTCCAGTAATCACTCAAACTCCTTTAAACCCCCTTTCGATCGCAACATTAATTACTAACAAAACGACTGTAGCTGTAGAAAAATCTACAGCTTCTATGATGCCCTTTGCGACTACTGGCGAATTGATTGCGATAAACTCCACTATTCGAACAACTACGGACACTTATGAATCAGATTTTGTACGAACAACAAGTGAGTCTTTAATGCTGGAACAGAAGACAGATTTTAAGGAAACTACGTCAATGAAAACACAAAATCGAACTGAAGATCAAACAATTACAACCATTAGCAAATTGAGTTCTGCACAAACAATGAGAAATGAGTTTACAGCTCCAGAAATAAAGATGTCAGAGGAAACTATTTCAAAGATTACAGAAAACCAAAAACAAAATCAAACGATTTTGGAATTCAACACAACCAATAATCAATTCAGTCAAAAAACCGCTAGACGTCGCGTTTTAAATCGAACGAACAATTGGCTTGGAAGTCCTTCAACACTACAAAGAACTAATCAATATCCTCGACGTCAGGTTATGTTGTACCGTAAACGATCACAAAGACCTGCTGCTCATATTTCGTCTTCAAAAGCAATTGAGAAGAATCGTAAAAGAAGAATCATACAGAAGAGAATCAGAGTTAATTCTGGAGTGTTCAATAATACTATTAAATCCGATCTCTCTCTTTCTCAGGATACTGTTGATGTTCAAAATATTACTGATCATGCTTATGATCAGGTGGAAAATATAAGACGAAGGAAAGTTGTACTGAAGGAAAGAGTCAAGGAAGAAACGAATACGATTTTACCCACAGAAGAAACGACAGTATTTCTTCAGACATCTACCATTATTGAGAATGAAAATATCAAAGAAAAACAAGAAGTTATATTAAAACAATCTGAAGAAAGCTTGTCAACAACAACAAAAATCAGTACCAATTCTAGTTCTGCTAATGAGAGTTTTCCAGATAATACTCAAAATAATCTTTATGTAGCTAAGGATCCTTCTAAACTAGAAAATCCGAAAAATAAACCTAAATCCGAGGAAAAGAACCTAATCGAAGGAGAAAGGGTAGATTTTGATTCTATCAATACAAATCTGCAAGATAATTTTTCGAAAAGTTCTTACGCAGATATGAGTCTTTCTGACAAAAGAATCGCAAGAAAAAGGATGAGAGTTGTATTGAAGAATGTCAGATCTAAAATTAAGAATTCCACGATTGAAAAAACAAATGTGAATTCTGATTTTACCAATAAAAATTTTCAAAATAATTTTTTAAATAACCATAACATAAGTCAGAATTTTTCCAATGAAGAAAAAAGAAGAAAAATGAGAGTTGTATTGAAGAGAATTAAATCTAAATCTGAAGAAGAGGAGACAAAGACTGAAAAAGCTAGTACAGAAGATGATTTTACCAATGAAAGTCTCCAAGGTACTTTTTCTAATAATTTTTACAGTGCTAAGAATTTTCCCATTGAATATAGGACTAGAAGAAGAATGAGAGTTGTATTAAAGAGCGTCAAACCTAAGACTGAAGAAAAGAATCCAACAGTTGAAGAAATAACTATAGAGCCTGACTCTATCAATGAAAGTCTTCAAGGTACTTTTTCAAATAATTTTCGCAGCGCTAAGAATTTTCCTATTGAATATAAGACTAGAAGAATGAGAATTGTATTAAAGAGTGTTAAACTTAAGTCCGATCCGAAAAAAAATTCAACAGTTGAAGGAATAACTGCAGATCCTAATTTTACTAATGGAAGTCTTAGAGACACTTTTTCAAATAATTTTCGCAAAAACTTTCCTGTCAAACATGGAACTAAAAGGAGAATGAGAGTTGCATTGAAAAGCATCAAGCCTAGATCCGAGGAAAAGAATTTAACGCTTAAAGAAACGAGTGTAGATTCTGATTCTAATTTTTCCGATAAAGATTTTCAAGATAGTTTTTCAAGTAATCTTCACGAAAATCTTTTTAATGGAGAAGACGCACAAAGAGGAATGGAAGATGCATTGAAAAGCGTCAAATCTACATCCAAGGAAAGAGATTCAGTAGCTGAAGAAACAAATATCGATTCTGATTTTGTTAGGAAAGATTCTCAAGTACTTAACACGTTCCACTTTTCAAGTAATGTTTATATAGGCGATAATCTTCCCGACAAGAAAAAGATAATGAAGCATTCTAAATCTGAGGAAGAGCAGGCGATAACCAAACAACCGGAAGACATGGAGTCGCAGACCACGAGGACGTCTGTTCCGGTCGAGAAGGACACTGATCGATTCTCGCTCGAGGTCAGTGCAGCTTTAAGTCGAAGATCCACTTTAAATTGATAACATTGTATTTTCTTGATCGCATGTTGCCCTAACCAAAACGGAAACAAAAGAACGAAACGCTGCAAAAAAAACTAATGAGGAACCCTAGTAGAACTGACTTACTACTACGAGTATCACCACCTCTTCTTGACGCTAACCAAAAGACCTCTTGAAGCATGATTTTCTCGCAGAAATCATCATTTAACATCTTACTTTCAAATCGCCTGATTGTCTGAAGATACCTCTCACTCAACATATAATCTCTTCTGAATCTGCTTTTGGTGTCTAATCGATCGGTATATTTCTCAGAAAGACGTTAGAGAATAATGCAAAGCGGCGGTGCCATGAAGATTACTTTCAACCGCTTAATATAATCATTCGTTCGATTGCTGACCATAATCGTCATATTTTTTGATATCAAATCAAATTATAATTTATCAATCAATGATATATGAACACGATACGAACGATTAATCTGGAAGGAACTGATTGTAATTGATTATAACTTAGTGGCTTCTCTTGAATGCCTGTTTGGCAAAATCTCTCGGTCATCGCCTCTCACTGGATCTAAGTAAAATACTTTTTATGAAACAAAACTGGAGTTACATTATCATCTTTTACTAGCTGCTACGTCATCATATTTCTAAAACATATTATTCGCCTACGAAGACGCTCTTTTTCCTCTGACTATTAAAAACCTATCTACTCCGGATTAAATTGGAAACTTAATCCTTTTCCCTGAGCAAACATTTTGGGATGCGAACGGACAAGGAATATCTTCATTTGCTGCTATTTCCTAGCATTACAAATTAACAAATATTTTTTCAAAAGGCGCGTTTTTGTGAATGTCCATTTACTTTTTTGATAAGTTATCTTCAAAAGTTTTAATGCCTGAATCAATGATTAATATCTTAACACGGGGAACATCTCAAATAACACAAAATTCCAACGGAACTTAGAATCTAAAAGAGTTCAAGAGATCTTTCAGGCATTTAAAAAAAAATGACTATAAGATTAAAAAAATCTTTTATAATATATAAAAGATATTTGAAGAATATTCTAATGATTAAAAAGCGCTTCGAACAAGGTGTATAAAAAAATACTTAAAAAACATATTCATATCTCTTTCGATAAATGCGCGCATTTGTTTCTGAAATTTTAACATATGTAACATAAACTACATGTTAAATGTACCCCTACTGAAAAAAAAAATCACGTCATACAGTTGCATGATGAAATCATGTAATTAAAACATATAAATCATGTAACGGATTGTTCCAAATCAATACGTGATTTTAAAATTACGTATTTTGAAAAGTCGCATGATGATATGTTCTTTTTTCTTCTATTTCTGTCATTCAATTTTTTAAAATTCGATAACTATAACATCACATGATGGATGAAATTATTTGTAATATCAAGTGATTTTTCAAATTACATCATTTAAAAAAAATCACGTATTGAAGTTTGGAGCAATCCATTACATGATTTACATGTTTTAATTATATGATTTCATCACGTAACGTTGTGACATGATTTTTTTCAGCAGGGACGCATTTGTCGATAAAATGAGGTATGAAAACGGATTATAAAGTAAATATTAATATAAATGAGATATAAATATAAATGAGGAACTTTTTGAGTGCTTTAAAAGACTTCTAGACGTTTGTATTGTCTGTAGATATTAGATTTTCTACATTTTCTTATTTATCTTTATTATAAATCTAACGTAAGAGCTTTGCTTTGTCAAAATGTGCGAATGCATGCACATATGTGTGTGCATTTAACTGGATTGATGATATTGTAATATTGTGATATCGGTTTTTTGTATTATTTCTAGTATTATAAATCAATATATGTGAATAAATTGTATCTCGAGCAGGTGACGAACGGTAAATCGATTAATCGCAACTCAGAAAGTGGACATTCTAATAGACGTAGGAAACCGACGCCGTTCACAACGATCGCTCCGCTAACCAACACCTTATCGAATACATTGACCGTTCATCGAAGACGTAGACCGGTTGAGACCACAATATCATCAAGGATAGATTTAGTCGGTAGGTTCACCTAAAAGTAGCATTCATTTACTTCGTATGTTTTTAGCCCATATTTTTTAAAAAGTTTAATTTTTTCTGTCCTGTTTTAATTTTTATCTTTTTTTCGAACCATTTCTTCTTTCAGACGCATTCGAAGGCACCGAGTCCTATGTTAAGCCGGCTGCCGTCTTGCATGATCAGAATGCAGACGTGTCAGATCAAAGCATCCGCGCCCAAGAATTCGCGGTGACGCTATCGGACCCGCCGTCCTCGACGTCAGACATTGGTACATTATATTTGCTAGAAACCACGCCATCTGATTTTCTAATTCTTCTAATCTGAAGTCCATATACTAAGTTCATCATATACTTCATTCTCTTCACGGACTACATTGGGTAGCTATGCGTTTTTCACTTAATGGCAATCGATTTATTTCAAGACCGTCGCGGCCCGCTTCTTCGTTTCGAGGCCATTTCTGATAATTGTTTAACGCCGACTCTAATAATTTGCCTTGTCAGCTCCTCGACTTAAGTCAAATCGTATGACGCTAGCTAATCACTCAAAAGACTGTCTTCTTAAAAATACGAAATCTTCGCGATAATGTCATCATTCAATCAAATAATTCATTCATTACCCATATCTTTTTCATGATTTTCGCTTCTATCGTCTGTTTTTTGTTCTCTATTCCTTTTTCGATCGCGCAATTCCGCGATTTATACGCGGTTCTCTTCCGAATTTGTCTTAATTAATGTCAGCCGTTTATACTAATGCAATTGTTAATTTCCATGCATTCATACTATCAATATCGTCTCTTTCTCTCTTACGGCCATGTTTATTCACAATTTGGCTTTGCTAAGCGAATTAATCACTAATCGTTGAATTCATGCTATTATCGACAGACTGGACAGTACGTGGCATGAATCCTTCAATCGACTATATGATAGGGTTTAAATGGTTGGCTGATTGTAAAATGTCGACCTTCTCAGGAATAACTGTTTTTGTACCATTCGTTGGTACTAATCCTAAATCGGATTTGTTAGCATGATTTTACGCACGTCCTTATGATATTCCTGACAAGGTTGTCGAGACATTCGTCCTTTCGTCTTTTAGTCTCTGTGCAGCTATTGGCTCTCGTCATCTATCATTGATTGATGTCTTACTAATGAATTTCGATCTTTTCACTTCGGCGCTCTCTCACTATGGGAATCAGTGATTTGCTTGCCCTTTCAGTAATGTCGAAGCGATAAAAGACTAATCAGGTTCTGTGACTAGGTCGAACACCGTTAAGGAATGTCGATAGGCGCAAGATAAGCACCACCGTAGTACCTAGAACAGATCCTACGACCAGTAGGACAGTTTCAAGGTACGATATGAACTTTCAAAACCGCCAGAGATCTCAGACGAAAGACAGACCTACGTTGAACGCGACTACAAGGCCCAGAAGACCGCCAGTGATCGACTATGATTATTACGAGGACGAGGCGCCGATTGTCATCGGCAAATCCGTCCTCAACAGTAAACTCTTTCTTACGAGTAAGGGTGCCATACGTTGCATGGACCAGGGCAACTTCCCACATCCGTACTCGTGTAAAAAATTCATCTCTTGCGCTCGTATGGTGAACGGTCAAGTGATCGGAACCGAGTACACTTGTCCCGACAAGCTGTCCTTCGATCCTGTCGGCGGTATCTGCAATTGGTCCGCCGGTCTCGGTTGCAAGGACTAATAGAGGCTTTGCTTCAATCACTCGACAGTTCAATAGAAAGAAGTTATTTTATAGGCTCTATTATGCTATTACGCGAAACTACAAACTGAAAAAAAATAGTAAAAGTATTAAATTAATTTTAATTTTATTGGTGCAATTGGAGCTCAACTTTATTTCTTAGAGTTAAATACGCAAACTTTATGTTTCTCTGCATTTATGTAAATAATTTTTAATTATATTTATATCTCCTATTTCTAATTATATTTATATATTAAGACTGTGTTCCAAAATTCATTCAGTGCTGAGAATTTGTAATACCTATACGTAACGTAAATTATAAATTTTCAACGTTGTGGCAGTAAATTTGGAATACAGCCTAAATGGTACACTCTATTTATTTCCGTCATATGTGGAATATCTTTAAGAAAATATATGACTGTCGAGTGATTATCATTGCGATGTCTCGGAAGACGAACTTTCGGATACGGCGAATCACTTGGCTTAAAATTAAGAAAAAGGAATTCCTAATAATGCAAAATAAATTTTTCGTTAAAAATTCTATCAATAGTAAGTGTAAATCGAGCGAGAAATGATCAATATAAATAAGCCAAAAGAAAGCGATATTCGGTCAAAGCAGATCGTCTTAGTGTCTAATGATTTTTACGTGAATCTTATAATTCTTCCAATTCAAGCAAACTGAATTTGGACGTAATATTACAAATTAAATTGACAGGCAATTTAATAAGTTTTTTATAGCATTTTTTAAGATATGCATTAGCATCAGATTATTATTCGCTTATCAATTTATTGTTAATTAAATTATTATAAGTTAATTAAGTTCTTTACCGAATTAATTTAGGGGGGATTATTTTCATATATAGGAATGTCCGAATGTTTCGGCTCCTCTTTATATTATTAGCGTCTCAGATAGATTGTGGTTAATGCCCGAATGTTTCGGCCCACATCTGTGTGAGATAATTAAAAATTTTTTAAATTAAGAAAATATATTATATTCATAACACAAATCTAACTTTGACCGCTTATTGGCACTCTCAAACGTATGTATGTTGTACATTTACACGGTCGGATCTTAAAATTCTTAAATTATTATAATTTGTGATATTACATATTCCAATTTTAATTTAGAACTGTCCTAGTGATAAATGATTGTCAATTAGCCGTCGAACGATGTTGAAATTATTGTATCAATGTCGATTCGACATCAATTCGATGAGTCATTTCTTACTGGAGTGTTTCAAGCCCGACAAATATTTGGTCCAATTTGTTTGAACTGGAAATTATAAAATTTATGCAAAAATATTATTAGATCAATATTCGCTTTGACCATATATGTATACATGACCTTTTTCGCTTATTTCTATTTTAATTCACTCTCTTTTCACACACGTAGCTCGCGAAATAGTATTACTTTGAAATGGTATTACTAGACTAACAAATTTGACTATCATTACAAAATGATGAATAAGAGTATTCTAGAGAATCATTGTCAAAATTATTACAGTATAGAATTATATGATCAGAAAACAAGCGTGAAATAACTGGATTATTTGTTTGAGGATATTGGATTTGATCTAGTTATAGTGAAACAGATAATGAAAAAGCTATAATTCTCCACCCGTTTCTTCATTAAAAAAAATTTCTTTCTCTCTTTTTTGGCTAGAAGTACAGTAGTATTGCATCTCAATACATAACACATATATATCAAATAGAATTTTTCATTTAACGGCTTTCGTCTAAAAATGAAAAAAATTTTATCTTTGTAAAATCATTAGTGGCCTGTAAAAAAATTTATTCATTTATAGTCGTTGACTACGAAGTCAGCTATTTTCAAGCAATCATTTCAATGAAAATGTATTTTGTCTACTTATTGTACGACTGTGCAATAGCCATATAATCGAGCGAAAACACAGAGCGGTGATATTATCATTAAAGTCTCTTTATGTAAATATTAAGTGTTGTAAGTAGTATATAAGATAAGTATACTTTCCGCGTTTCGTACCAGCGCTAACTTACCTGTAAATTTTTTCGATAAAGTTCTTCCTATTCGGTAAGTCTTCTCGTTAAAAAAATTTAGGATAAACCTTACTCGACTCTCATTGATTAGGCTTGTCAAGTACATCAGATCTGTGTGTAGGCCGAAGATTTTTGTACGTGAAATAAAAGCTGAAAGTTGTTTCATCACACACTCACACGTGATTGTCTGGTGTACATTTTTAAAAACTAAGTTGTAAGTTGTAATAAAGGTAATATAAAATTTGGCATCATTATTTGACATAAAGCTATTTTACTTCGATTTATCAAAGGAAATTTTTCAGCGAACATGAACGAAAACGTCACAATGTGACATATTTTATCAAAGACGAAGAATATGTAAACTGTATCGAAGATTTTTATTTTGTACATGAAATAAAAGCATCGTTTAACCACACATACGTCTCTGTTGTGCATTTCTTAAAAAATGGATCATAATGAAGGTAATGAGCTGTAATAAGATATAGATATTGTAGCGTCTGAAAAGAAAAAGAAAGAATAGGTAGATCACGTAGGATTTGCTCTTTCACACAGAGACACTTATCATATAAATTATTTAAAACATCAACTTAATTTGCTATACAAAAAACGGTATCAAGTTGAAAACCGAATATTATTCGACCAACGCGGTAACAATTTTGATAAAATTCTGATTTTTTTTTTTATTTATTAAAAAAGGCTCGTTGGTAAAGATCTTTGGTAGATCATTATTTCTTCATGTTCCAACTGATCATATATAGGGAGACGCAAATAAATAAAATTTCACGGACGCAATAATATGTGCTTTTTTTCAAAGATTTCTTTATTTTCCCCGATATTCTTGTATTTCATAATGTTATTTTTATTAATCTAGGAAGATGAGATGAGCAAAATAAGTGTACAGTAATAGCTGATAAATGTAATGCAGCGCGAGACGATCATGTTTCAGCGAGTTGTCGTAATTTCATAAATATTGTCTCATAAAATAATTACAATTGTAAGTGTATGCTATACATATATAAATGAGAATGTATTCATTTGTATGACAACATTTGACAATCGTAACAAGGAATTCGACATCAACTTTTCGAATATTCGAACTTCATTTTAAATATTCGTTTGCGAATCTCGCAATGAATTAGTTATCTGTATATAGTGCATATATATGTATATATATATGTATATGGTTCAAAATATACGTTTTTCCTTTTGACATTATGTTTTCCTTACGCATGTGTACATATGTGAAAAAGTGCGTGTGTGTCGTTTTGCATGTATACTGTTTCAGCAGTCAACTTTTGGCTTTGGCATATATTTCTCGTCTCTCTATGTGCCCAATATAGTATATTGCGAGAGAAAAAAGTGAGATAAAAGGAATGAGAAATTAAGTAAATTCTCAAGAAAAACACATTAGATAGACATTGAAAAGCGCATTATAGCCGCAATAAGCAAAACACAGAGAAAAAAAAAGAAAGAAATAAGAAAGAAATTTATAGTATACTTTTGTCAATAAAAGTAATTGTATTTCACGCACGAGTATTTTTATCGAGAGATTGATTTTTCACAACGATTTAAATAATAATGATGACTCTGACTTCACTTTTGATAAGGCTGCGTCGCATTTAAACTGTGATACAAGAAATGATAACTGCGATTTGGAGATTTACACGATGAACTCTATGTTACAATTAGCGCCTTATCGCCCTTTGCAGATATTTATAAAAATAAATACTTTGAGAGAAAGGTGTTCCGTTCACTACCGTAAAATAGATATATATCGGAGCGATATAATAAATAATTATTAAAGTCAAATAAATAAATAATTTGCTTCGTTCAGCATATTCGTTTCGCAATATCTTTAACATACGATTTACAAGACGACGGCTTGTCGTTTAAAGATTCGTAGTGCCACGCTTATTAAAAAAATATAGGCATTATTCGATTTCGAGCGTACGTTTTCTGGATACTTAGCGAGAAGATCGATTTATATATCGTTAAGGACTCGTTATTATTACTTCTTTGAATTTTAACATCTTGACGATTTCTCTTTTAGTTTGATGTTTGTGCGAACATTGATCTATGGCCTTACGGAATGTGCACCCGATATGCAATGTATAAAACTTGGCAATTTTTAAAGGGGACACGTTTAAGTTATTAACGAACATAATACGATTGTAAAATATAATGAAGATACAATGGATTCGGTCAGAAAAATTCAATCCAAAAACATTGTTAAATTGTTATGCTACAATAGCAAAAATTGCAATTCTAAAAATATATGTATATATATATATATATATATCTTTCGCTCTATAATCAAATACAAAATGTAGACTATTAGGACTTTAGAATAAATATCCAGTAATATTATTCTAATGATAATTCGGAGAGCCTCTAGTATCAATGCACTCACTAACTGCATATCCAATTATGTGAGCCTTTTCTTTTTGCCATAATTACCAGTCTAAGACGCAATTCCTTTCTATTAAAAGAGAAGAATTGCATACACGATCTTATCTAACATTGGCACTTACCATCCCAAAAAGAAAAAAAAGAATAAAATTCAAGTTGTCTCGTTTCAGTGTAGACTACATAAAAGAATAAAAGAGCAAGCATGTAGCAAAACGTTCTAGAAGAGTACATTGATTTCGAACTTCGTGTCTATATTTACGTTACCTATCCTTTTAACGAAAGGTATCTAAATATATTTGATACTCATTATTGTCACGTTAACAGACTTATATAAGTTACGTAAATCTTCTTTCCTTGTACGTATATTTGATATGTGATTTCCATTCATGTGGAAGATATTCTTAATTATCTATTTTGACACACTTAGATCCCTTTGCGTTAAAATGACATCATCCGCTTTCTTACCTCAAACATTCCAATAACCTCGAGTGTGTATGTATACATATACATATATATATACATATATACACACACACACACATACACGTACGTACAATTATTAGTATTTAGAGTAATGACATATTATTGTATGTATTGTACTCTCTCATACTGAGTTCCATTTAAAACGTATCGCCACATGAAAATACGTTGATGTGTTAAAGTATTAAAATAGTAGGAGTAATTTTGAGACGTTCATTTGTCAATTGACAATATCTGATTCGCTTTTTGTATCTTTTTTTTTTGATATTATTCCGTATCGAATAATATCGATTATTACGTAAATTTACAAATCAGATTCACCATATAGAGCCGTTGAGAAGGAGCGATAGTCCAATGCTCCAGGTATAGCGCTCGGTCCTTTGTATGGAGGCATTCGTTGAATGCAATATTCCGCTTGATCCGGTGGTAATTCTCGCCGCAATTCGTCTGGCAAGATGTAAGGCTGAAAGACAAGAATTTACGACTCAAGTTAAACAACATGCAACTTTCATCGCTGCGTTGTCATGGAAATTCGAATATTCTTACCTTGTCACCAGCGAGAATGCGGAAACTGTCGATGACCTGTTCCGCCGTATCAGTATCAGTAGACTCGCGTGTCATGAAATCGAGGAAAGCGTCAAAGTGCACATAGCCTGAATTATTAGGATCGACAATGGCCAGGATTCGTTGGAAGTCGATGTCGCCCTGTCTGTCCTTCCCGATAGAGTACCCCAGAGACACGAGGCAGGATTTAAATTCGTCCGGTGCCAATCGACCTGTCCTGTTTTTGTCGAAATGATTGAAACTGCTGCGGAATTCATTCAACTGTTCTTGAGTGATACCCTGAAATAGAAATACGTTTCCGCTTGTTTTTAAGGAGGATTGTAAGCAATTTGGCAATATTGCGTAATTTAAGTAGATAAACATAAGAAATTTTTATGTTGACATTCCACACGAGTTTCCCCTCTTCCTACGTTTCTTGTTTAGATAAACTTCATTTATCAATAAACATAATATCTCATATGAAAAACTGATACATATTTTGTGTTGACATAACTTCATCGTCTATTATTATTTCAGAATCTTCGATTTCTTCACTTGATAAATCAGCTTCCTTTTCTTCTAACATAACTTTTTCCGGTTTCAATTTTTTTGCATTTGCTTTTGACTATAAAAGCATCTTTTCTCTTGCATTCATGATCACAACCAATATTTCTTTGAATGACGTATAATTCTATGGTTATTTGAATGATATAGAAATACCTTCGAATCTCTGGTGAGAATTTGATTTTCGACTTCATTAACGTTGCGATTGATCGACGTCAGAAGCTGTTCCCAACCAACGCGCAGCGTTTCCATGGTATACTGAGTGTAGCGGTTCTCGAAAATCATACCTTCCTTCCGCTTGATGAATCTTCTCCAATTCTTCAAGATGAGTCTTGTATTGATATACAGCCTGTTCGTACTCTTTCAGACGATGCAACTGATCCTCGAGAGTTCCCTAAATAGATATAATTTTTAGAAATTCATATTTTTATTTATTGATTTATTCTAATTGAGCCATATTAACAATTATTTCATATTTTTATATATAACTAATTATATATAAAATGTATAAACGGCAGACAAAAATCTCTACTTAAAGTAGAGATGCCTCACCTGAAGACCGAGACCAATCGCAGTTACGGCATCTAACTGACGTTCTATCCATGGTCCAACAACATTGGCTTTTTCAGCGAATTGTCGTCTAAGCAGTTCATTATCTATTTTCACAATTCAGGAAATATCTTTTAAGAGCATTGAGAAAATGTTCATTAAGAACATTGAGAAAATGTTCATTAAATCGTAATATAAATTTATATGGTATGAATTTACTTAATATTAGGATCAGAAAATCAAAATTAAATAATCAATATCAGAAAGCAAGGATACTTTGTTGTTTGCGAAGTTCAGCTGCTAGGGTACCATCGCGTTGAGGGACTAATTGTCTAACGTCGCTCCATTTCTTAGTAAGATCCTATAGAACAAAAAGTCTATTAATTTGAGAGCAATCCCTATACTATATCAATAATTTATTCTTCGACATACCATTGCAGTGAGAGTGGTGTAAGGATTCTCTAGGCCGCCAGGAATCTGGTATTGCTTGACTATGGATTCGACTTCACGCACCAATCCCACAATTGAATTGTACTCTTTATCTGCTTCGCCTAATGTGGCCTTGAATGCAGCGTGCGCATCCATCAGACCTTGGATCTCTTCCATTGTGTGGACGATAAACATGTCCACTAGATCTTCTCTAGTTCCATCCAACCAATTATTGAATGGCTGAAAAACATGCGACGTCAGTCCGTATAAAAAAAGGAGCTGACAATTTTACGAATAAAATTTTATGTAATCAAGTGCTCACAGCAGCGCGCTTGGCAAATTCTAGATGTAAGACGTCTATCTTCTCCAGAATTTTCTCGGCTTCATCGAGAGCTTGACGTCTACGTTGAGTGAGCGTACCCAAGCGATCCCATTGATCGCAAATACGTTGGCATCTGGCGTTCACAGATGCGCTGTCGTGGTACTCGAGGGTGCTATAACAATAGAATTCAAATAGCACAATGATCAAAATAATCGTCTAAGATAGATTCAGAGTCTTGAAATTACTTGAGTTCTTGAGCAATAGCCGCGATCTGTTCTACGCGATCCTGATGAGCAGCAAGGTCTGACTCGAAAGCCTCGTGCTTCTTTTTCAGGGCCTTAAGTTCGTTTAATTTGCACTGCCGGAAGTGTTGAGACGTGAGCATCTCTTCTTTGCCGGCGGTCCAATCCTCGTGAGCGTCTGCCTTGTGCTTGAATTTTTGCGCCAAATGTTCCAGTCGCTCCAGACGCATCATCTCGGACAATAACCAATCCTCGAACGTTTTTTCGGCCAATTCCAAATCTAAAAATAATTTTTAAAATACACACCGATATTTTATTCGAAAATATACAAAGAAATATGTACAAAGGGATTCCGATAAAACTTACTTCTCCACGCTTTATTTATGTCGGATACCATTTTTCCTTCTGTGGGCATATACGCCGGTCTGTTGCTCAGCCTCAGTTTCGTCTGAAGAGTATTGAAATTCGTTTCCAGCTTGGCTTTCTGTTCGACACGCGGCGGCTTATGTTTGCGCCGATATGTCCTGTACTCCTCCAGTTTCTTTTGACAACCGGCGAGGGAATTATCAGTCTGTCGATTCGCGAGCCATGGTAGCGTTCGTCGTATCCATTCGAGTAAATCGGAAGCCAAGCGCTCGTATTCCTCCATGAGACGCTCGTTCTCTTGGTTCACCTTCAGTACCTTGCAGATTCTGTTAGCCGCTGTCTCTGCCTACAATAAGAAAATATGTATTTTTCCCTTAAAAAGAATTTTCAGATTACGTTTATACATTTGAAACGTATGTAGTTTACTTCCACTGAGCAAGATGCATGCAATCGTGGATATAGCCATCTAGAAATGTAAATAAGAAACTTGAGATATAAATATTAAGTGTCTTGAATTTTTTCGCTGCGTGAATTAACAATGTATTTCAATAATGCGCACGCAAATATTTGTCGTGTTTGTTATAGGTTGTAAGTCATAAGTTAATTCGAATTGAAAAACACACACCTTTTGAGCACCGCTAAAACAGTGGTAGTATGAGGAAACATAGGTCATCACAGCTCTCTCATCAGGCATTGCAGTATTTCGCATATCTAGAAAAACATATTCGAAAAAACTCAAACCATGCGTTGTTAGCGTAAGAACTTGCCGTTAAAAATTTAATTAATTTTAACAGTAAACAAGTCCAGCAAGAAGCGGAACGTCATTAATAATTCATTATATATAATAATTCTTACAATATCATATTTATTGTACAATACATATAATAAAAATGCGACGTCCTTCGCATAAATTATGTTGGCAAAGATAATACACACAAAATTCGGTTGTAACATAATCTTATTTATAATTTTAAAAAATGTTATAGAAGACAATGCATAGTTTGTTTCGGTCCTGGTGAAGCAATTGAATTAAGACAACAGCAAGGTGATCAATTAGCAAGTTCAAACGTCGTTATCGGTTAGCATACAATTCGTTTAATTATAGTTCGCGTTAACGAAGGATTAAACAGGTTGTTTTTAATAACGAGGGTGAGGACGAGCAACACGCATTTTTTTTTACGCTGACCTGCTGGGCACCTTGGAACGCGTGGTAGTAGCAGGACACATACGTCATGATAGCTCGCTCATCCGGCTTGGGAGTGTTGATCAAATCTATATGATATTAAGGGAATATATGAACATTAAAGTGTTTATGCATGTCATTTCGATACTAAGAGAAAGAATCCAACCGTAGTTCCATCCTATACAGCGAAAGACAAATATATAATCTCGGCGATTCGATATAATCGTCTCCTCCTAATAATCAAAATGTCAAACGTGTGTCCCGTATATTCCTAAGATGTCTATCGTAAGTATTTAAACGTTTTTAATTTAACGTTTGATTTGATACATACCATCGGGATCTAACATGCGAGGAATGTCGAGATACTTTTCAGCGACATCGAAGGCAGTGTTCAAGTTCTCCAGAGGGTTATCTTTGCTAAGTTTATTGTAGTCGATCAAATCGGGCCGATGACGATGGATAAGAGCGCAGAACGCGAGACCATCCTTGAAGGACAAATGGAAGTTTTGAACGTTGACGTTCTTGTACGGTGCCGTTTTGCGTTGGCACCAAAGTAACAGTCCTTCCTTCGCGGTCATCTCCTCCACAGAGATATCCTGGATTGCGAATCTCAAGATAATGGTCCATATCATTCCCAAAGTCATCTTTAGATTGCCGTCAACGATTTCTGTCAAAAAGTTATCGATTCTTGAAGCGTATGAGGTAAAAAAAAATATAAATTATATTAAATATGCAATATTTTTATATTAATAAATACAAGAGTATGATGCAAACACTAAAAATCTAATAAACTTTGATTTTTATAACATATATTATTGGCATAAAAAATATTTTTATAAAATCAATATATACACAATTTAGCATATTATACTTTTTACGCAATGATTTCGTCAAGAACTTTAAGAGAAAAAACATACCTTCCGCACCAATTGAAACCAGCTTAACGCCCTTACTAGCGATATAATCGAGGGCTTTGTTCACGTTGGCGATCTTATGGAACCTCATTTTGCCTCTGTCGGGTCTCGGAAGAGTCTCACCTGAGATGACTTCAAGCAATAACATCAGTTTCAACCCATTCCTGAAATCGTCTTCGATCGATTCGATGGCAGTGCCTGCTTTGCGTAGATGCGAGTTGCACCAAGCTGTGAATGTCTAAAGATATAAAAAAAGGACCAATTAATCTGCGTTCAACAATCATAAATTGGCATTGAGCAAGATAAGGGTCAATGTGCAATTATAATAACACAGAAATAATAGCAAGGTAATTCAAAGGAAGTTTGACAGAGCTTAATTTTTATATAAATTATATAAATCATGAGAAATAATCATTTAAAATAGGGGATTGAGTTTCTTCGCTATACTGCCTAGTGTATATTTTAGTAACGACCCCGATCCCTCCCGCTATATATATCTTCTGTCCTGATTCTTAAACCACGCTTTCTATCGTTCTACAATGATTTTTTGACAATCTTTCGATATCTTTCTGCAATTATGAAACAGCACATAATCTTGTTAAAAACAACGTTCTTGCATGTCCATAGCCTTTTAAAATATACCAACAAGAAATCAGATACCAGAGAGAAATCTGCAGCACAATTTCCAACTCTCTAAATTCTTTGGAGTGAAATCTTGAAAAAGAGTGGCTCAATTTTCAATCTTTAAGAGTGAGATTTCACTCTTTACAATGAAATGCACTTTACGAGTTTTAAAGAGAAATTAAAAAGATTATTTACATTGTATCAAATTAAAATCTTCGCAACTATCGCTCTATATATCAATTTCTAACATCAGCTCCCACGATATCTATCTTTTCAACAATGACAATTTTCACGATATGAAAAATTGCGCATTATGTCTACGTAACAATCGAGGAGTCTGGAGAAGGTGGCAAGAGCGAAGGTAAATCGGGAAGGCCGAATATAAATTCGCGGAATATTTATTCGAAAATCGTGAAGTAAAACGGGATTTGATCGAGATTGATAAAAAAAAAAAAAAAAAACTCCGGGGACTGATGGTTGAGATTTTAGAGTTGGAAAAATATTGCGTGAAATTCAATACGAGCGGCGTGAAGCCCACGACGGACCAATTTTGGACATGAGCCACCCTCCTAACGTCTCTGCACGCGTTCTAAGATCTATTTGTAAAACATTGACTCCTCCCGCGCTCGAGTAGGTATTAAAGCATTTCTGAAAGCATTTCCGAATAGGCCTATTACTTAATAATTAAACTATGTGAACTCTCGTAATTCTCGTTACGTCATCGAATGTATGTATATGTCACCATCGATCTTCGAAGACACGTAGAAAAAGATTTACAGTAAGGGGATGCGCACAATGAAGGAATAGGAACAGGAACAGAGAATAAGAATTTCAATCGATCAGAAACGATGGATTATAGAATACACAGTTTCCGATAGGTTGGAATTCTTATTTTCTGTTCTTATTCTTGTTCTATTTCCTGTTCCTATTCTCTGTTCTTATTCCTTCATTGTGTCCAGTCCCTTAGAGTCTCCAAGTACGATCCGTCTTCGCGAAACATTCACGATTGATGCAACACTCGTATTTCGTTCGGCAAATAAAAAATATATTAAATGATATAATTAATAAATTTTTCACTCATCATACATCACATTTAGTAATCACTGTGTGTGTGTGTGTGTGCGTGCGCGTGCGTGCGTGCGTG